ACAACGTCGTTTGATAGAATTATTAAATGGCGCATCGTCATAAGACGGCCTCTAGATTGTCATATTTATTTTCGCGAAACTTCTTTGGACGTCTATTTTATAGACAAATTCTCGACAGACATTGGACTCTGTGAGAAGCGATAAAATATACCATATGATAGAATGGCAAAAACCGACAAGAATGTCAATTTTGTGGCCAAAAAACTTACACGGTATAAGAAATGTTTGATTTTCCTGTGTTACAACGACAAGCGAAACTATTTATTAAATTTGATTGACATATATGTGATCCTTTATTTTGTTACTAAAAACAAAAAGTTCCATTTTTTTCTTTATTTCATACGAAAACATATGTCTGTGGTAATTTCGATTAAAATTTGTTTGGATGCATACGAAACTATAAATCGTTTAATTTTTTTTCCGTTCCTATAAGCGCTTTTTTTCTTTCGTTTTTGTAATAAATTATGTCCTTGAATAGAGCCTAAATAACCATTAAATATTTTTAAATCATTTCCTTCATAATTTATGCAGTACAGGTTGAAGTAATATTAAAAGAAAATTACATTTACTTTCACTATTATGTCCCTAAAATACTATAAATAAAAAGTTGATTGTAAAAGAGAAATTTTATTTCATGTCTAGTAAATTTCTAACTACTCAATTTACGGCTTACCCTTGCTCAACTATCTCACCTATAGGGTAAGTTGAGCATTTTGGAATTTCTTCACTTAACCGTCTGTAGCTCTTAAATACGATTTTTTAGAAATAAATTACTATCGACACTTTTGGAAAGAGATAAATTACTTACCCATCAGTATGCATAACATGCTATTAAGATTTATCGTTTAAGACCTATGTGGAGCTATGGCCGCTCAAGTGAAAAATTGCTCAACTAGCCCCGCTCTTTTTCTAATGACTTCCATGGATATTTTATGATGTGAAGTCTTTTATTACCAATTACGGTAAAAATGTAGCAGTCAATCGATCAGTATCTAATTGTGATTTTGAAGTTATATATTTAACCGTTTCCCTATCTTATTACATGAACATTTCAATTGTTGAAATATTGTTCCTGAGTTGCGGAGAGAAAATCTGTTAAGTATTTATGCCACATTCTAATTGAATTTACTTGCAAAAATCTAAAGCCATAATTTTTCAGTGTAAACCAAAGAAATACAATGGACTCTGTTTTTTATCTACGCCACGCGAATTCTAATTATTTTGGACCATAGACTTAGAAAATATCCTAAGTTTATGATTTTGGACCAATTGTTTAGTCAATTGTAGAAATTTTTTACACAAACACAAGTTGATATTCTTTCAAGTATTACGGATTTACGATATACAGCTATATAATGTCTAGATTAATGTCTTTATTTTTCTAAAGTACTTCTTTATTTACATTTCTTTCTTTTATTAATTTATTTAAATACTTATGAGAGTATTTCCTAACTGGTTGCGCCAAAACACACATTTGCAATGTGTTAATTAGTTAGTTTATTAGCAGGCAGTATCCTTCCTTCCTACTTCATGTCCTTCCCACACGGGCTAGCCCAATAGGAGGCTAGACATGGTGGCGTCATTCTGTTCGGCAAATGAGACGCGCTGGCTAACAGTGAAGGGGCCGGAAACTCGTCGCCGGCGCAGACCAGAGTTGTCGACATGCGCTCAGTCACCCAGTTGAAGCTCGATTTTAGATGTGATAGCACCCCTGTGGCAGACGAGTCACAGAACAATACAAATTTCGTAGTGAGCGCTTGCGTAGTGCAATTCGTCGCACACTGGTGCAAATAATTCGTTATGGCGCCAACGGTCAACCCCGGTGCATTTGTCGTCACGCACCACCGCAATTGCAACGCAGTGCCACCGAACCTCGAGGCCTGGGAAGAGGCCACACCCAAGTACGTGCCCGTTCCTATCTCGAGCTGTTCTCATTTGTTGATTTTTCCCACAGCAGCTCATGCTTCTGTCATGCCAGCTAAATATAGTAAATTAGGTTATAGTTGTATTGTCTAAAACCCGCCACGTGCCACATCCGCCATTTCTCTTTCGTTATTCTCACACCCATAAATTCGAGGCCATTGTTCTCGGGAATCGAGCCCGAGACCTCGTCTAACCATTGTGTGACCATCCGCTTCTGTATTCGAACCATTTTGTGGCCCTTCATTCCGGATTTAAAATTAGCAACAATTAGCATCACCACTAACAATTATCTCGAATCTTATTCTTTCAGCCTTTACCTTATCGCGTATAATATTTTCTGGAACTTTGTTGTAAAAGCGAATTAGTTTGTCTGTGTACATATTACATCTTTATTGGCGCAAATTGATTTCTGGATCTCGTCAACAGCGCCACCTACAGGGTCCAATCGTGAATCTAAACCATCCAGAGCCATTCAAACACATACAAAAAAAAATATTTAAATCTGTCCCGCCCTTTTCGAGTTTTAGCTAGACTAGCGGACATCAATTGACAGTGTATTTGTTTTTAGTATTACCGACGAAATACTAAACGCAAATCCGCTGTGTACCTATTGCATTGACGTCGCTTGATATAACTTTATTTTGAACATATAAACGATTTTATAACCCAGCAGCGGAACACTTTGGATGGCTTCCAAACTTCCAATATTTTTGAATCAAAACAAAAAAAAATATTTGGGCTCGGATTAAATAAAGTCTGCTCATATCAGTAACAGTTAGGAATTTTTTAGAGTAATAAATGTTTTTTTCCATTATTATATGTTAAAAAAATATAATTGTAAAGTTGAAAATAATTTATATTATAAGATGATAAGTTCATTTAGGTGGTAGGACAAAACATTTCTGACGCCAAATGTGTACTGGTCTGAAGGGTTTATAGAGCCAGTCAGCCAGTATAGTAACTGGTAATTCAACCTTTGTGCTCAGAGGTGATAATGCATCTGTAGACTTCTTTGTTGAAAGTAACTTGCTTGCAGGCTACAGGCTGAAGTACCCAATTAGTATTAGGTTGACTACAAGATCGATAGTCACAACAGTTTTAATTTAAAAAAATATTTATATTATTTGTATTTTGTATTGCTGCTAAAAATATAAGTTTGTATGTACATTATTTTTTATGAATAATTAAAATAATGTACATACAAAATATATTACTAAGAAAAGCTTGGCCACCGAAACGGACATCAAGCTAAAACCATCAATAGGATTACTATCATTGTAATTTTTAAGTAGCGAAGTAGCAGAAGATATTCTAAGAACTTAAGTAAGTTTGCATGTGCAGACGTATGTGTATAATATGTGGACTGCATATGTGTATTTTGAGTTTATTGTTATTTTGTATTTAAAACGTTATCCCCTCGGTAGGATATTCTCCTGAATAGTTTTTTTTTCAATAGATATCCTAAATCGTGGAGGCGGTCTACGTCATAAATTGCATTGGGACCCATATCCAAACCCGATACAATAATTTGAAGGCCATACAAACACATGCTCCGTCATCATGTCTCATCAATTAATATTTTGTAATACTTATGGACGATACCTGCCACTCTATTTTCACCACAATCACCTAGTCTGCCCTTTGTGATAGGAAGTTTGTTCTATACGGAAGATAAATGATGTCTAATTGTGATAATATTCATCATTGAATTAAAATTCTACGTACTCCAGGTTCCTTCAAAATACAAAGAGACATTCTTTGCTACCGATTTCTGGTCCTCTGTGGTAGTGTATCGCCAATACAGGAACGCGCCAAAGAAGAAAGTTCCTTAAGTAGTGTTATGTTTATGTTTTTATATACTCTTAGATATATATTGCTAATTGCTTTTCTTAATTTTTGAGTCCTTGATGCCTGAAATATAGATATCTATTGTGAAATCAAATTACATGTTTTGGCCCGATAGCTCTTTATAAAATGATGTGTTTTTAATTCACATAAAACGCAATTATTAGCTGCCAAAAGGTGAAATCGATAAAACAGTAAGTAGAATGTAAAACTGTCTGTAAAAGTGTAAAATTGTCTTTTAGTATCGCGCATTAAATATTCGAAGTGCTACAAGGAAGCGAAGTGATGACACTGTGATGCGTTATACAAATATCCATTTGTTGTTATCGTAACATGTTATCTGCGAAAAAGGTATCGATATTTTTTCCCACGCCCACAAGTCGGAAATTGTCAGAATGTGTCACAAAAACGAAATATGCGAAATATGAACTCGGAAAAGTTTTTTTGTTATGAAGGACTCCGAGCCAACTACGCCTCAACACTGATTTACTTTTAATTTTAGCTTGGTTATTTATAACTTCGAGATGATAGTAAACAAAAATAAAAAATAAAAATGACGCCTGTAATTAAGTCGCGAGACGAGACAAATATAATTTGGCTCGATCGAGGTTAGAAGTCGGGAAGTCCCCCGCTTGGCAGGCGTACGGAACGTGAATTGGGTCATGGATTTTGGTGCAGTTATTTGTCTACGCACATTTGCGCGTAAACATTGCTCAGTTTGATTCATATTTCATATAAACTATATAAGTTTATGTTTCACTATTTCAATAAGTGGTGAGGTAAAACATGATAAGGCTTTACAAGTGCTTTAAAACTTAAATCGTAACCAAAGCCATATAACAGAGATTTTGCCTTAGCGTGGAACACATAAACCGGTTGTGGAAATAAATTCAGTTACATAATGATATTATAACATTCTCCTACATTGTTAATTACATACAGTTTAATAAATGCAAGATACGAGTAAGTAACAAAATGGCACATTCTGACAAATCCAATACAACATTCCCAAGCACAATAAACATCAAAAGAATCTCTCACATGACATCGCGTTAGCAACAAACCGGTCAGCAATAATCCTCTTGGAGGTACTCGTAATTTAATATCACAGGAAAGTGAACCCAATCACTTCACACGTAGGTTTCATACTCGCAGGCACCGAGGCACCTGGGGGCCGTGCACTAGCTGGAGCGCTCGGAGACGCTGTCCACGTCCGTGGCCCTCGCCGTGGGCTAGCTGATGGAGGAACTGCTGGAGGTGGACAGTGTGTCCCGACCGAGTTCCGCCGCCATTATCGCGATGGTCAGCTCCTTACGAGCTTTCTGCACCACCCACACCATGAGCGTTATGCCGATCAAGATCTGGAATTGGATAACAGTTTAATTTATTTATATATCCGTAAATCAATTCAATAAAACTATTTTTAACTTGGTTTTACATAAGTATTTTAAATGCTTTGTATTTTTGTTCTTTAATCTAGGCTTATGAAGAGACTGACCTGTTTAATTTCGTTCTGTTGCCATAGCCTTAAATTCTTGGACACACGTTAAATTTACGCAAAATATGTTACAGTACCTTACAATTTTACAGTAGTTTACTTTGCTTTGAATTAAACTCATAACAGAATAAATTTTCAAACAATATCCCTTTAAGAAAAAAGCTTAGGTACATACTGAAAGTCGTTAATAATAAGGGTGACAAACGGTCCTGGTAAAAGTCCACCCATTGACAAGTGGATGCTATAACCCACAAACAGTATCAATCCTAAGTTAAGAATCTAAATCCATATGAATTGTCAAACCTAAAGACTAAATGCAACTAATGGAAAACCAGTAAAGCAGATCTACGGTTATCTTTGTGGCCGTGGAAAGAAAAGGGGAGATCTCCCGCCGGACAAGGCAAGGTGTTCTGTCCGGGGAGCGGCCAACGCTCCGTGTGATAGTTCCGAGTTATTCTATATATTATATTATTTTGATTCGGAACTTTGATAGCGCGGTTCAGGTTTCGATGTGTCTCGCTTGTGGCTCGACGACAGCGCGGCCACAACTTTATTCACCATACGAATCACAGCACACTACTCTTATATGTTAGTTAATCTAGGAAAGATTTAGGTATTTATTTATTTTATTATTTCACAATTTATGTACACACAAGTAAGGGAGAGGATACATCATGATAAAAAGTTTGTAAAAAGACTATATAGGTATCTATGGACCACAGTATTCATTTATCATCAAGTGGCCTGTGTTCTAGCTTGTCGTCTTTCTTGTGACCACACAGCAAAGTCTTAACCTATGCGTTCCCAACGTACTTATTGGGTTAAGACGGAAGGTGGGTCGGGGCAGTGTCAGAGACACCAAGGACACCACAATATTACTAAGTTATTTTGCTCGTGAACTGAAAATTTGTATTAAAGCACCAAAGTTCCCTCCGGTTGCGACTAGAACCCAAGATTCATGATACGGAAGTAAGATAAGCTAACTACTAAGCCGCATAGTTGTTGTTACAACACAAGTTCTAGAACTTTCGATCGATATCAAGCGTTACGAAATTCGTTCTTAAAAATAAATATATAATAATGAAATATCGTTTCACATTAACCTAATAGGAAGTCGATAAACGCGCGATGGCGCTATAAATATATTAGATTAGATTAATGCAATGGAATTATTTAACGAGTAGTGGCGGTGTAGGAATATCCCCTACCTCATAACGTTGTTAGAGGCGACAGAGGGAAGCAAAGCGGGAGATGAGCGGTCTAGTAGGTCTTCCTAATAATAACTAAAGTATTTAAAAAAAATTACAGTTGCCAAACCTGTTGTAACTGTCGCAAGTATCTCCTTAAACTTACAGCCTATAATACGTCCCACTTCCGGGCACAAGCCTCCACTCATTTCTGAGAGGGTTTAAGGGCAAGAAATTGTCAGCCACGCTGCCCCAATGCGTGTTGGCGCACTTCACATGTCTTCGAAAATTTTTTTTAATTATTTCTCAGACATGCAGGTTTCCTTACAATGTTTTCCTTCACCGCCGAGCACGTGGTAAATCAGCACTTAAAATTGCAATTAACGATTTCAATGGTGCCGAGGATCGAACCCGGTTTGCTCGCGTACTGTGAAATTTACAGCGAGCGCTAACCATCTGAGCTAACACGGCTCTTTAAAGGGCAAGGTGAACGGGAGTTGCATTTTCTTTCTCTCTTTCTCTCATAGGCAGTTATTTTTCGTAATTTAATTTCGTTTTGAACAATTTTATTAACAGTTGAAGCCGTGGTAGCTCAGAGTACTACAACTGTCGCAAGTATCTCCTTATGAGACAATTTATGAGCAGGCCTGCCGGAGGATGATAAATGAAAAAAAAATGTAATCGTTGTGAAATTTTCCACGCCATGTCATGAGGTTCTCCCGGTACTGGGTCATTGTACTATTAAGTAGGTACTCTACGGCATTATTGTATATTTGACTCCCCTTGACTTGTCAAATATTGCAGCTGAACATATGCCTCCTGGTAAATTGCCTCATAAGGGGATATTTGTCACAGTTACCATTTGCTTAGGAAACAAAGTTGCTTGAAGCTTGCCAAACGAAGTTTTGTCACTTTCTAGTTGTGATTAGGAAAACACTGACGCCCATTTTCTTCCCCCTTCCGTCGCCTTTTGTGAGATTGGTGTACATTTAATGTCCTCCAGACCGAACTTCGGTCATCGACGCAGGACAGTATTATAGTGGTCAAGTGTATGCGTAAGCGCAGGTGCACTCTCTATTGCCTTACCTTCACGGTCCGATGGGACGGTAAACCGATACAATCGCAGAGAGATCAGACACAGAACCAACGGTTTTACGTGCTTTTCGAGGCACGGCCTTGAACCATCGCCAACTTCCTGACTGGCAGCTACTGAGAATTTCTTAAAGGAAAAACTCAATAACTGATATTTTTGGTATTCTGTGAGAGTGTGGTCCTTCCCCGGTCGAGCCGACCCATCCGTGCTACAACCATAATATAGCTGCAGCGTGGTACTACCACGTATGAATATATATCTTACGTCGCCATCATACGTCAAACTATGTCGTACAAGTATATCGGAAACTTGTGAGATAAAATAACAATAGAATATTCCGAATTTAAAACGAAGTTAAATAATCATTCCAACTAGCAATAAATACCAGACTAATCCGAAGTTTTTCTAAGCGTAACCGAATGAATTATTTACGCCTACAGACGTGTGGAGTTATGTGGTTGATATTTCTTTTTACTGCATACAAAGCGTGGCGACTGAGAACAATTGGCACTATGTGCATTGCATAACAAAGGGTTTTTGCCCGTCGTGTATTTAAAAATATACTTTATTATGGACTTGAAACGTAAATGAAAATTTTTAAACATTATGTGATTTAAAATTTTATAAGCTTAAATTATCGAATGGAATATTTATTATTATTTTATTTAACTTTTCTAAGCCAGCACTAAGCTACAATCCCACCTGATGGTAAGTGGTGATGCAGCTTAAGATGGTAAAGCGCACTGACTTAACAAAAACCTATTCACACTTGCCTTGAAGAAGACACCCACACTTTAATCGGATGGAAAGCCAGATGCTGGCCAAAACTTATTCCACTCCTTTGCTGTACGCATGATGAATGACGTAGCAAACCGTTTGGTTCGAAAGCGTGGTTAGTCAACAACGAAAGGGTGGAGAATGGCCGAACGTCTGGTTGTCCGATGGTGGAAGGGAGAGGGAGGAATTAATTTATGCAATTCTTGCGCACACTCTCCGAAATGCATCCTGTAGAAGACCGAAAGGCTGGCTACTTTGCGAGGCTGCTTCGAGGCTGGTAAGATTGGTGATTACTAAATTTATATATTAAGAAAATAAAATATGTGACTGCAGTCACCTCGGTACCTGTCTGTCACAGAGGTGATCTCTGAGATGTTTCCGTGTAAACCGTGGCGATTGAAATTTGGCATGGTTATTAGATGCGGTTATGTAAATAAAACGTGACATGAAAAATTCATACCTTCAACTCAAGGAGTACTTTGAGTAGTATGAAGGAAAGAAAGCTTTTTAAGATTTTTGACGGCTCGGTAGCGCTGTGACTAACCATTTGGCTACTGCGCTATGGGGCTGCGTGTTCGAATCCTAATAATTGTTCCGAGTCTGAATGTTTATCCGTATGTAATTTATGTATATAAAACTCCTTAGCGTCACAGGAGAAAATTCTAATGTAATGTTTAAAAACAAAAGATTTATCGCGTCCCTACGGCATAAATTTTCTATTATATCTAATAATATATAACAGAAAATGTATCCCGTAAATATATTGAAACGCTTTCAAAGCTTTAAAAATACTTCAAAATTGCTGACTGCCACCGTCAGAGTAGCTAGATGTGCGATTTACGTCATACTCATACGTTTTTTTTTATACAAATATGATATTTTATTAGAGGTACATGAGAATAAAGAAATACCGAATAAGAAAGACGTAAATCAACACAATCTGCGTAATAGTTAAATACGTGTTCTAGCCACGATTAGTAAAAGTAAAAAAACATTCGCGTTATTAAAAATATTGATGTGTAATAAATTACCAAAAAGTTTCACCAGCCTAAACTACAACAAATTTAAACGGAAACTTGCCTTTTTCTTTTTCTCCTTTTTCTAACATTTTGTGAAAAATTGTTAGTCGGTACATTATTAACGTGTGCATAGTGCACACTTGACCGTTTTTTCTATCTAGGTTATGCGCTATTCTTAAACAATACCTTCTTGAACTACTTTTTCTCTTGTGCGATATTATCTAGTGAATAAAATAAAGATAAAGCGTTAAACTGTGTTCTTCTAAATATTACATCAGGGACAAACGAACTTATAGTCCACCCAATGCGTAAAATAGTAGCTTAATGCTGCTGTATTTCGTATGGTAGAGTGTAGAGAATCGGAGACCCGTTTTACTGAAAACGAGGCATTCCATCTTAGTCCTTACGGTTGACAACGTAGCTGCATTTTGATTCGCAATCGAGGATAGATGTAGATGTCTATGGGCCACAGCAACCACTTACCATCAGGTGGACTGCGTGCTCATATGACACCCTATCCTATAAAAAAGCTCATGTACACCTGCAGCCAACTTCAAACAAAGCAGGCTCCATATGCTTTGTAACCTCTGAGAAATAAGATGGGATGCTTCACACCGTGTAATTATTCTGATTCTCTTTACCCTACAAACTGGAACACAGCCCTTTTTACGTGGTAGAGCCACGCTGCAGCTATATTATGGCTGTAGCACGAATGGGTCGGCTCGACCGAGGCAGGACCATGCTCCCACAGAATACCAACGGAAAATAGCAACGTATTGCCGCTGTG